TTTAAACTGTGTTTCCATAGCTGATTTATTTTGTTTTTAAATATGTCCCTTTGCCCTTGCTTTTTCCCCCCACATTTTATTTACTATACCCTAAGAAGGGCTCTGATTTCCCCTCATCCTGCCATGATTACAGCTAGAGTCCTCTGCCAGGGATTCAAAACTTGGTGGACAATTTCCTCTGGGCTTATAAACTCACTGTTGTTCTCCTGCTGCTTTAAGGAGATGAAAAGCAAATCCATGAGCTGCCAAGAATCACACCCAGGCAGGGATGCAGTGCTGCAAGAGCTGGTCCCTGCTCAGTGTACAGGAGACAGACATGACCCTGGGATGAGTTCATGGGGTCACACCTTGACCCTGATGGAGACCCTTCATCTCCCCGTGCCCCTGTGAAGAGCAGAGAGGGATTAAACTGTAGGGCTGCAGTCCGTTAGCATGGAACAGAATGAACAGACCCCAGCCACAAATCACTCAATATTTTAACAGGCTCTGAGAGGTTTTTCTTCCTCGCTTTAACCCTTTGTGGGACCTCAGTGCCTGCTGGAGATGGCTGGTGAACAGTCCTTGAGCACAGGTGGTGATTATTCCCCTTCTTCATACCACTCAGTGCCCTGCATCCACGTGAGGCAGGTGGCTGAGAAAACCCCTCTGGGCTATGTGTCAGTGAAAGTTAACTGTTGGGAGTAAATTGTGTATCAAAAGTAAATCCAAACATCAGTCCTAACTGCAAACACATCACTGAGTGACTTTAGCTCTGTAGAAAATGCCAGTGTGACTGGTCCCAGAGTCAGGTTTTGAGCACGAGCTGAGGGTTACACGGGAGTTGGTGGGATGTGTGTGCGAGTGAATGGTGCCAAACAGGAGCTGGGCAGTGGGCTCCCAAAGGGAGAGTGCCGTGGTTTAGCAGATGCTATGAACAAAATTAACTCTACTGCATGCAAACCAGCACGATGAGACACAGCTGGGGATTGCAGTCAGCACCAGTGTCCTTCCCACGTCCATAGGTGGTATTTGAGTGCTCTCTAGTGGACAGAAAACGGATACAGAGGAGAACACAACTGATGCGCTGTCCCTGAGCTTAAGTCACCCTCAGCTGAGTGTCTGAGGCATTGGGTCTGTAACATCACACACCACGGGCCTGTGCTGAGTGTCTGAGAGCAGGATTTGCGAGAGGAACTCAAAGCCAGCTCTCCCTGATCTGTGACGCTTCATGGCAGAGGTTTGATGAGAGAGCAGAGCAGGGTGGCAGGGGATGCCCACCTCACCTGGTAAGAAGTGACTCACCTCAACCCCTTTACATTATTTTTTCCTTGCTTTTCCTTGTGTTGAAGGAAACACCAGCCATTCCTGCTCCTGTGTGTAGTCAGCAGTTAGAAGAGCAGAGGAGAATAGAAGGAGAATAGAAACATTGGTCATGGAAGGGAAGAAAGAAGTGGGGAAAACTCATATGAACTCATTTCCCAGCTGCTGCTGAGCCTCCAGGAGCCCTTTGCTCTGAGAGCCCTGCCAGTACTGGATATAGTAGCTTTGAGGAAAAATATTCTTTGTTTCACAAAGTGATAAGCAACTGAGTAAAGTGGAAACCTAGACTATGTCATTGTAAAAACAAGATTATCAAGGAAGTCAGCTCAGGACACAAGCCATAAAACTGTTATGTAGAGGTACACCCAGACCAGCAGAACCATACTGCTGAACCCAAATGTTCAAAAGGTGTCCCAAAATCATGACATTTATAAGGATATTGTAGTGCAGTAGGGATTTACTTATAGTAGGTATCTGAGTTTTGAGATCTAAGAATAACTCATTTTCCTTTTGCTTCTGTGAAATGACAGCAAAAAGATTTTTTTATGATGGTGGTAGTAAAAGCAGAAACAGCCACTTGACTCATGAAACAGCTACACCTCTAGTTAAAGAGGTTATATGCATCTCCCACAAACTCTTTGTTTAAAACCTGGCTTCTCCATTACCTCTGTGTTGGGAGAGATATGATTTAGCCTTCCTGGATGATACCGTTTTTCAGTATGAGTTCCTCCTTCCCAATGCTCAGACACCTTGGAGACAAAAAACCCCTCCTTCAACATCCTATTGAGTCTAATTACTTGTCTCCCACTCATTCTTTTCCTTCACTTTCTAAAAGCTTTTGAATGATTTTTTCTTTGAATATCTTCTCTCATTTGGAGCAGTCATCTTTGGCCTTGCCTCATTTAGGCAGAAACTACAGAGGGTTTAGTACAGTGCCACACATACCTGCAGTAAAAGGAAATGCATTTGTATTTAGGCAGTTATTCTATGCAAATTAATTAATAGTTTTACTACAGAGGCTATGCATACATTAGGCTAGTAAATACAGACTGCACGAATATGCTGATTGAGTTTGTTGAGGGTATGGAAAGAAAGGGAAAAAAACCCAGAAAAAGAATGGATAAAAGTAAGTCAAGCAACGTATCATACCAGTAAGTACTGCAGTGCTAAGAGGTAGGGGAAAAAGGCATAAATCCCAAAGAAAATAGTCCTGAAACTTCAGAGAGTTTCTTTATCTTTCCTTTGCTCATAGAGAATTTAACTGAGGCAAAGGGGCCCATGAAAGAGAGAGGAACAGCTGAGGGTAACCCAAGCAGTAGGTAGGAAAATGTACGTTTATAAGTGATGACTATTACTGGAATATTCTTTGCACACTCTCACACAGGCTTTCCCCTGCAGGTTTCCAGTGGATAACTGAGTTAAAAAATTGGTTAAGTGGAAGAAATTTTCTGTGTAACATCCAAAGCAACATAGGAATCAAACTCCAAGTACTTGGGATGTTGCTTTTCAAAGAGGCAAGTCAATGCTCAGCTCCTGCAGATAGCTCCACTGGCATATTAGTTTTCTCCTGACAGGTTTGATTTGTGTCCATCTTTTATGCAGAGGTTCACTCTATACAGTCACCATCTGAACAAAGACCCTGCCCTAACCTTGTGGGAAAATCAGGTGATTATTCCCACAACTTCAGAGGTTAGCACCACTGAGGCACTTGTTTTATTCCTATGTTACGATGATTCAGGCTGTGGAGTTATAAAAATGCCATGTATGATAAGACTTGTTAGGAAATCAGATAAACAGGCAGTGCTCAGACTTCTCCATGAGTACACAAAGCATACACAGCCTCTCCAGGACAGAGAGTGGCAGCTCACTGGGGCCAAGCAGACACTTCTGTTTGGGGAGCAAATCCCCAGCTTTTGAAACACCTTCACAGGCACTTGGCAACATCTGGAAGGACACTACTCAACAAGCATGACAAGCTTCAGTGGGAACTCAGGGTTCAGGTCCTGCTCTATTTTTGCTGTCTCAGACAGCAAACTGCCAGCTGCTTACTCCTCGTTACTATCTGAATAAACTGCATTATCCAGGAAGTCAAATGGGAACAAAAATGCCATTAGATAAGCGATTTGTTTAGCCATAAAACTATTCATTATATGCTTTCAGGAACTCCACCCCAGGGGTTTTTAACCCTTCAGAGGTCACATGAGAACAACTCATGTTCCAAAAGCACTTTCTGGTGGCTTGCAGCACTTCTGGAAACTGCAACTCCTGTGCCAGAAAGGCTGCAGCTGGGTGGTGGTGTTTACACACTGCTTAACAAAAGGTTTGTAGTGGCAGGGAGAGAAAACAATGGGGATTTAGGAAGGAACCCCACCTATGAACTCTCCCTTTTTTTGACTCATGGGTTTCATGTTCCAGATTTTTTGTTTC